GCAAGCTACACGTTGTAGAATTAGGCCGAATGAAATGACAGAATGAGAAGCTGTCTTAACAAAACGTATCACCTGCATGCATGAATGTGTGACATACCAATGGTGAACAATCATTTAAACATTTCCTCCAAAAAGAGAACTATCACATTTGGGAGAAAAATAAAAGTCAATCCTGTTGCTTGTGGTGCTTTTGCTCTTTCTCTTAATATATATATTTGCAGGGAACTATGGTTTGCTAACTGAAATTTTGCCATCTCTGTGTTCTATATTACATTTGTTTCTCATGTCAACCAGAGAGTCTTACTGTCATGCCACCAGGCCTTGCTGACTCATCATTAGGCAGGTTAACACTTTGATCTACAGAGACTTGAGTTAAACATACCTTTCTCTCTCTCTAGACCTGTATCTTTCAGAAGCAATTGTTTTTGTGCAGCCATGACTTAGTCTGCCTACCATTCTAGTTTATATTTGCCGAGTATACTCTACCATCACCCCCACCATCTCAATATGCTCTAGAACAGTGGTTCTGGGTAACTCAGGTGTTCTTGCACTCCAATTCCCAGATGCCTTTACCACCAGCTGTGCTGGTTGGGGTTTCTGGGACTTGCAGTCCAAGAACGCTGGGGTTACCTAAGGTTGGGAACCACTGCTCTAGAAGATCCTTCCATGGAGACAGGCAGGGAATTGTTCCCTACGACCATGCTACCAAATATGGCAATACACCACTGTTATAGAAATGGTAATATGAATCTAGACCACAAGGCCCCATTGTGTTCTGAAAAAGTCAATACAAAGTCTTCCATTTATGGAAAAGAGGGTAAAGTTAGCACATTTAGCATCTTTGTACAAATTAATTATTCATAATCTTTGTGAACATATATACCTAAGTAGAGGGAATCTCTTTACAATGTAAAATGAAGCCTCTTCACACTAGGATCTATATGAATATTTCCTCATTTTAATTAATATCTTACTACCATTTTTACTTTCTTTCCTTTAGTGTTTCCTTAGCGTGATGTTTTCTCATAATCACAGTGTAACTAAATACACTAGCTGTTGGACCTACAGAAGTTTCAGAATATCTAAGTGTATCAAATAATGAAATACTTTATTAGAATTAGTCATCAAAAATGGTGACTAATCCATGTTCCCTGACCAAAGAGGGGCAAAGGTCTTCAGAAGCTCCTCTTCACAGCAAGCCTCAAAATGATTTGGCCTTATGACCTTTGAACCTGCTGGTCTCTCTACTTAATTCATGTATTTTTATGATTTCATTATGTTCGTTTATCACCTGCTTTCTATGGTTTAACTGGACAAACATATATGATAACAGAGAATGCACACTATTGGGTTTTATCAGTGAAGCCCTCGGCATGTCCTCTTTCCTTGCTGTGCTGTAGAGAGCGCCATGAACAGACAAATGAAACTTTACATTCTTCCAGAGAAAATGAAATATTGATCACTTATAAGATACAATGAGCTTCGCATAAGTAGGGCTCATGCTATGAATACAGAATAAGTTACTTATCTGAAAGCTACAGTAGCTATATGCATTACAATGAAGGTTCTCTGTGGTCTTAATATCCTCTCTAAATTGTGTTAGTGAACATCTGAACAACCATGGATACTGTATATATTTGAAGTGGAAATGTTCTCATTCACTCATTTATTGTGCAGTTTTCATTACAATTCAAAAAAGTATTATGTACAAGTAACTGAATAATACAATGTCTATAAACTGTCCGGATTTTTCTTTTTACTGTCTATAACAAACATATTCTCCAGCTGCAAACTAACATGGTGCAAATTGCTAAAAATAACAGTATATAATACCATATATTAAAATATGATGTATTGGGCCTACAAACGATTTTAAAAAGGTGAATATATTAAATCAGTCTGTCAAATGATAGTTGCTTATTAACCAAATATATTTTGATAGGTCAACATTGAGGTTAGAAAGAAAACATCAATCCAGCATTTTCCTAAATAAAGCTCCAGAGTGCAATATTCACAGTACTTTATTCAATAAAAATGCTTTTTAAACGGTACTTGTGGGATTGGGAAACACTGGCATCATCCGTCAATGTAACTGCAAGAAAGTTCAATAAGCTAAATAATGAACCATTTACATTATTTTCCTTAGGCTCCAGTGATTTCCAAACATTCATCAACAGAGGTCTTGAAAATTATGATAAAGACCTTTGGGTCTCCTTAATTCAAACTTTCTTTTTCATCATATAATGAGTTTGATGTTACTTTATTTTTGCAGTTTCATCTTTCTTTAATTTGAAAAAAAAATCCAAAGGAGATACTGGCCAGAATCCTATTACAGTCATGCTTAGGCAAGTGAATCTGTTTGTCAGGATGGTGAATTGGTGCTGACACAGTGCTGACTACATACCTGATCATATATCTAACTGTGCAACATGCACACAACCAGAAATGTGAATGGCATCTCATTAATTAGTGGAAGCTCCCTGCTGTGACTTAAGGAACTTCACTTATGCAAATACATAAACTGTCAACAGGATTCTAGCTACCATTCACAAAAATTTCAGAAAAGAGACTAGTTTTAAGAATTTCAAAGTCTTACATGTAGCCTAAATTCTTATACATTCTTACTTGTAGCCTGAATTCTTCTACACCTAGATTAGGGTATCTGATCTACTTCCATTAGGTAAAGGTAAAGGTTCCCTTTGCCAAACTGTCCAGTTGTTTCTGCCTCTCAGGGGCAGTGCTCATCCCAGTTTCTAAGCCAAAGAGCCAGTGTTTGTCTGTAGACAGTTTCCGTGGTCATGCGGCCAGCGTGACTAGACACGGAGCACCGCTACCTTCCCGCCGTGGTGGTACCTAAATTATCATATACAATTAGTTATATAGCTACTGTTTGATTTCTCTATATTGCATATTATTCAATTTTTGTCATTTATCAAATGTTTTAGTTCAAAGTTAAGAGTACTAAGTTAACAGAAAAGCAAGTACAGCTCAGTTAAAGTATTTTAAAATGCAGGTTAAAAGCTTTTCTGTTCCATTAAATTTGTGCATTTAAACTTAAACATTTGATAAATGACAGAAATTAAACAATACTGTATTCAAATCAATATAAGGAAATTAAATGGAAGATGAGGGAATTTTACTGAGTTTCCAGAGACATGTAATATGCTCTATGTGGGCACTAAGTATATACCTTTTGTCTTGCAGGAAACTGGTACAAGCACAGTTTGATTGGCTATGAACAGGCAAAATTTTTTATTGAACTTGGCATTTCCATGGTTTGGCGACATTTCCATGGTTTGGCATAAAGACAGTAGGGATTCAAAGGTTGCTCATAGTCATATGCTGGCCAGTGCTGCACTGCTCAAAGCAGTTTGTTTCATATCTGTAAGCAGTACATCAAATCCGTTAGTGGGCTTCTTCCTGGGCTACTCTCTTTTCTGTATTAAGAAGACTGCTCAGTAGCTCAGGAAGTACCTAGGAGGTACAGAGAAATTCACCTATATCCTCTGTCACCACCTGGAATATTCTACTTCACAGCCTAGCTCCCTCAAAATGCCTTTTAAATACATTAGTTTCAATAGATTTTAATTCACACAGTGAGTTAAAATGAAAAAGTAGTACTTCAGTGATAAACTCAATCCACCAGTTATCAGATAATCAACCCCAGATGTCTTTAATCCAGCAAATGCTACCAAAACAGGGGTTGGGAGAGTTCTGACCTGACTTACTTCTTTGGGGCTGGTGTTCCCATTGAAAAGGCCATCAGCCATACTTTAGAGATGGAAGCTTTCCAAATATTGTCCTCTTCAAACACTTTGGACACCACCTCAGGCCCATCATTATATGGGGCTTGCTACCTCACCCCAAAGCCAAAATTAATTCAAAGTAGGTGGGACAAATCACTTTGATGCAGGAAGACAATGTTTTCAGTTCATGAAATCAGAACTATTTCAGAAAGTCTATAAGTGTCCTCAAATGCAATTTCTGTTTGCTTTAATATAGTTTTACAATGCCTAAAACTACAATTTCTCATCACCAAGCATGCAACTAGAATCTAGAATCTAGTCAATGGACTAGATTCATGAAATATGAATCCAACCAACTCAAGAAAATTTCTGATGATTACCATCTACTATTTAGGCTATATTTCCCAAGTTACTGCCCTCCAGATATTTTGATAGCAACTTCTGTCATCCTTAAAGACTGGTCACACTGGTTGAGGCTGATGTTGTGGCCCCAAAATTTCTATTTATTTATTTATTTATTTGGCTTTTACCCCACCCCTCTAGATTCTAAATGAATCTACTCTGGGCAGTTTACAGTCCGAGCTATATAAAACCAAGAATTAAAACAGACAGTATCAGAATAAAAGAGAGATGAGCAGAGGGATATTTTCTAGACTGTTTCCAGATCATTTCTTCTAGAGGGAACAAAACTGGGGTAGGCTAATGTAAGAGATGCATTTCCTTTTTAAAAAACAAAAAGTTTCCCAGGTCATACAAGTGCTACTTAGACAGTGGTGCCCTGTTTGACGACGACCCCGCTTGACAATGAAATTGCTTTACGATGCCTTTTTTGCGATCGCAAAATGGCTCCCCGCTGTTTTTCGGACCGATTCTTTACAAGACAGGGATCGAAAATGGCTGCCCTATGGAGGATCTTCGCTGGATGATGAGGGATTTTCCCCATTGGAATGCATTAACCGGTTTTCAATGCATTCCAATGGGTTTTTTTTGCTTGACAACGATTTCGCTGTACAGTGATTTTGTTGGAACGCATTATCGTCGTCAAGCGGGGCACCACTGTATTTGACATTACATAACTTCTTGGGATAGATGAATAATTGTTGCAATGTCATGCTGTTGTTGCTTCCGTTGGATAATGCTGATTTTGTCTGTTATGCTGCTATGGCAAGTAAAATCCAATCATTTACTATGATTTATGGCAATTTTAACTAGTTAAAACTCACTGAAAGAGAAAGGTTGTTGTGACAGTCTTACCTCATCAGGACTGGACGCTTGATAAGTTCTGTTTTCATCACTGAAATCCTGATCAACTTCTGCATATTCTGTTTCTCCAGTTGCTCCTGTTCGGGATTCATACACAGGTGTAACATTGTGACACAATGCAATAGCTTTTACTGCTTCATGTATTCGACTGCTGACCGTTTTGCGGACTTTAGGTGTAGAAGACTGATTCTTTCTGGAAGGTGTGGAGCTGGAACTCGTTCCACTAGATTGGGAGTGCACCTTTGAAATATAAATGGAAAACAAAGATAAATAGAACAAAGGTAGTGCTGATATCAACAGCAGATAGTTTCTTCTCTAACATATCTGAATTATGATGTTATGTTCCTTCAGTTTTAAGAACTTCCAGTATCTTACTGTCATAAACATATTTGCTATTGAACCTTCGGTAAGTTCAATGTTGTGCAACTAAAATGTTCTCTTCCTCTTGCTGCCCAAGAAGTGGCACCGGAGGGTTTCCTAACAATCCCAAGTCAGATTCTCCCATTCTGTTTGCTGAAAGCCACTATCGGATACTGTCCTCCTATGCATTTCAGACTGCATGCAACTTTATAGGAAATGTCATGCATTTTAGAGAAAACTACCATATTGACTTTGGCTTTCTTCATTGTTTTTGATGGGTAAGGAAGGGCATTTTAATGAGTGAAGTGTACTTTTCAATCTTCAATTAATATTACAGTTGTTCTTTTAAACAGTTCTAATTCTATGGTGTTTTAATAATGTAATTTGTTTCTTCTGTTTTATTTTTTTAAATTATTGTGTTTTATTCCTTTTTCAAATTATATTATGATTCACCAGTTCTGTAAGAAAGGCAGGAAACAGAGAGCAAATGTGAACCAGCACAAAGCAAAAAGAATGTTTTGCATTGCTGCTGAACAGTTTTCCACAGTATCTTTCCAGACATATTCTAGGAGGTGGCACTGGGAAGCAATAGTAAGACAAGAATGGCCGAGATACGCTGCCTCTCATGAGTTCCATACATTATAAAAACTTACAGCTTAAAGCTGCTTTCAATGTTTGCCTTATGAGTATATATAAGAAAAAGTAGCACTGTTTTTTTCTTAGATTTAGGGGATCCCCACCTTTAAAACCAACAAGGAACATACCCATGCCTTCAGTGGAATATGGATGACACCTTGAGAGAACAGATTTTATTGGCTGTTAGATTGCTTCACAGCACCACTGTAATGTGTCCAGCCAAGAAAATTGTAAATGTGTCTATGAAAAGGTAGGAAAATGCATGTCAATGTCCCAGTTTCTTAAAAAGAGTTATCTAAGCCTAGCATGTCAAGACAATCCTGTGCACCTCATTGATATAATTAGACCAACTTTTTATTTTCTGCAGGGTAACACCATTGCAACCCTATTTGGCAAACATGCTTTTTTAAAATTCTGTGTACTGATCCACTGAACCGTGAATATTCTGCCCATCAAATTACAGTGTAGTCTAATAAAGGGTTTAACTTTCTGATCATCTGGCACTGTTTTTCAGCTACTGTTTTAAACCTTTGCATTTGCATTCTGCTAACACTGATAGCATTATAGCCACAAATAAATTAAGCTGATTTACTCCTTCTGAATTATGTTATGTTTATTGATGCTTGTATAATTTAATTTCACACAAATTCCATTAAAGATTATGCCCTCTATCAGAAAATGCTTCCAGTAGGGAAATATAATCAGGTTACAATAGATTTGTGTGCTGCATTAGAGTGAACCTACTCTACTATTGTCATCTTAATAATAAAACTGAACACAAACAAGGGGAAAAATCAATGCCAGAGAAGAACCACTGTATAACTGGCTCCTTTAATAATCATTGCTTAAATAAAAGAATGTTCAATACATAGTTTTAGAAACAAGTATTAAATGGCACCTTATTTTCCTATGGAACAGCATTTCTCACCTTTTCATACCAGAATAGATGACAAAAGCTAATTTGTTATTTGGATACTTAGATTTTTTTAAAAGGAGTATCATAATCCTAATGAAAGAAATTCCTCCCACATGGAAGAATTAGTGTTGTTCTTTTTTAAAAAATGCTTAAAATATGCTGAATTCCTTCACTCTGTCCCTTCTTTCCTCATTTCCATGTTCTGAATTTGTGAAAGAGAATTGGAAAGAACTATGCAAATAAAGTAGGGCTCTGTGCCTATTTTAAATGGTTAACTACATACATCGCTGACAGCTATGAAATGAATCTCCATTTCTATTAAACTGCTGTAGACTTATAACGTATTAATCACTGCTTAAGTGAAGTGGGGAAAATTGGCACATATCCATGTTCAGGAAAATGTGGTCTTCTCATATAGATGTGAGCTCCAGAATCTGGATGCTCTAGTAAATTTAGAAGCAGGAAGAAGGTGACACGCAGCTGCAACTCAGTAGGTTATAAAGCCAAGTGATGTCCCACCTTCAGGTGCACAAGCTTGTGCATGGCACACTGCTCAATTTTGCAGGTCAAACCTGGCAAAACAGACTGCATCACAGATAGGGAGATGGCAATATTTACTAATTAGCGTATGGCAGCTGGTATTAAAATTATTGCCCAGTTGCTACAGCATAGTATCATGAGCTTGTCTGAAGTATGAGTTAGGTTAAGTATCTGCTCAGTCAGGAACTTCACAGGTTGCCTCAAGGAAACCACATTTCTTTCCCCCCACCTGCATTACTGAATTAGTAAAAGTGGTATTTCACGATGATAGCTAAAATTATCCATCTGAAACTTTCTGAATATAAAACACACACACATCAGATAATAACTGTCAACTATTATACCCTTGCAGAGTTCTGCTAGTGTAGCTGGAGTGATATTAGACTGCCAGAATCCCCTTTTTGATTTTGGGGTGTGTATGGATTTGTGGACAATGAGATGAAGTCGCATATACATCAAAATAGAAAAAGGACATTTTTCATTAGTTTCAATCTGCTACTGCTGGAAACACATTTCTGCAAAATTCTGCGAGAAGGCCCTAGCCACTATTTCCCAAAATCTCCCCTTTTTCTCTTTGAGTGTGTGTAGTTAAGACCCTAAGCTTATTAGCTGCATGATGAAAATATATGAATTATCATTATGTGTAAAGACCTTTATTTTAGATAGTGGAAAAAAAATCTTGAATGGAAGTCCTGAGGTAGTTTTGTAGTACTGCCATAAAAGTTTTGTAGTACTGCCATAAAATGATCATCCTAACCTCCTCAGGGTTTCCTTCAAAAATAAGACATTACATCTTGGTTTCAGACACTGAAGTGCAATTCAAGACAACTTCTGCTAAAGAAAAATGTAAGGCGCAGGACAGGATGGTTTCAGGGCCAGGCAATTCTTAAGAACAAAATAAGGATCAAGTTCCAGGTCACATGGGCAAGCTTTATCCAGATCACAATCTATAAGTCATCACTCTGACATAAGGATAGCCCTTCTGCCTTGCTCTCTTCTTACTTCCATTGGTGGGCACCAATGGAAGCTAATGGAAGCCGATAACACTGGTCACCAGTAATCAGAAACTACTGAACTTCTGCTACTCAGCTTCTGAGCCACTCTCAGGTGAACAGCAGTATAAACATGTGGGAGAGTGCGTGATGTGAACATCTTCATGCCAGCTCAGTGCTAGATCCTACTGTTAAGCTACAAAGCCAATACTAGCTACATATATAAGTCACTCTGATAACCTTAGACTAATAAACTGGTTTGAGCTAAGAGAAGGCATGCCGTGGTAGACAAAGCCTATTCCAGCTGGCATCACTCTTCTATGTGATGCCCATCTCTGTAGTGCAGACAGCAAAAGGAAAATATCCAACCAGAACAAGAAGTGCCCCAACATTTAAAAAAATGTTTTGCCACTGGACAAAATGTAAAAATTTTGGGCACAATGACCCATGTTGTATTTTAAACAAGCCATGATACAGCCACTAGAAGTATGCCAGCTATCAGCTGGCAGATGGTCCTATTTGGAGAAAACTTACATTGCTTCCAATACAAGAAGATTTTTGTAAAAATTAAGCTTCATTTAATTTTGGTTTATTTGTTTTTATCTTACTCTTATTCTACCTTTTACTTTCTGGCTCTGACTGATTGAGTTGATGGCAGTTGATGCTACACACACAAACAGCTCACTGGGATTAGACATTTTTATACTTCCAATATGCTAGAATTCTCAGTAGGGTCTCTCCCAAATCATACCGTGCAAGCTTTTTGTCCAAATTACAAAAAAAAAAAAAAAAAAAAAAAAAAAAAAAAAAAAAAAAAAAGCAAAGTGAGAGATACAAAATTAGTGTCAATAGCACTCTGATTCTTTCATAATGCAGTATTTTTTTAAAAAAAAACTTGATTGTTTTTTGTACTGAAAGTATTATAGTAATACTATGGAAAGAAAGTGAGAACCAGTAAATGTGAGCACCTGGGAGTAAGAACTGATGATATGACTTTGAATTTCATCCATTGTGTCTGTTCCATAGGACACAGTTCCTAGATGGAGACGCTTAAATATCATCTCATTCTGAGTTAATGTACCTGTAAAATAAAAAAATTAATACACACATTAAACATTTAAGTTCAGTTTCTCAAGAACTATCAGCAGTCCCTCCTATTTTACCTCACTGTAAGTTTCAGTAAGTTAAGACCTACTGTACTTCATGGCACAGTGATTAACTGCAGTACTGTGGTGAAGACTCTGTTCACAAACTGAGTTTCATCCTGGGCTCAGGTAGCTGGCTTGAAGTTGAGTCGAGCTTTCATCCTTCTGAGGTTATACTCACTGGGAGTGCAAGCAGCCTGCATAATTAAATTGTAAACTGCTGAGAGAGTGCTTAAAATACTATGGGGTGGGGTACAAAAGAAGCACACTTTGCTTTGTATATTCCAGCCTAATAAATAGAGCCAGGAGGATGCTGTTCATTCAGATTTGCAGTGAAATTATCAAATTCCAGTATTCTGAAGATAGCAGAGTCAAAAAGGCAAAGCAAATGTAGCAGAAATTGGTCTCTGATTTTTTTAGACCTAAGAGCACTACTGGCCACATGTGTCATGACTCTCCAAATGCAAAACCAAACACAAAAGAAACAAGAGAAAAAGCAACAGATGAACACAGCTTTATATCCTATGCCTGTTTTTACAATGCTTTTGAGAAGAATTATTATGCTGGGTCAGACTGAAGTTTATATACTCCAGCACGCAGTTCCATAGTGGACAACCAGATGCCTATGGGATGCCCAGATGTAAGACATGAACACAACAGAAACTGCCTGAGTACATTTCCTACAACTAGTATTGAGAGGCATATTGCTTCTGATATTGGAAGCAGTACATAGTCATTGCAACCAGAAGTCATGGACAGAGTGAAACATGTGAACAAACATGTAAAATTGTATCTTTATGAACTTCTCATCTGAGAATTACATCAGAAATTCTGATTTAATTGTGAAACATAGCTAAATGCATGCTGAAAATCTACATATTTCTATACATACTGTCTTTACAGTCAGGCATCAATACCCACAAGAAGTTTAGGTTTATACAAACATATTCACAATAGAATAGTGGCACTAAGCAATAGTTATCTTGCTATGCTATCAAGATAATGTTTAAAGAATATTACGATCTTTTGAACAATTCTGCAATTTTCTTTACTTTTGTGATTAGAAAAAAACCACCACAAAGAAAAATGTAAGAGTGCTTTCATTCCTCTAATTCCTCTCTTATACTTACATCCTAACTTTCATCTATGGAGCTGATAGCAATATTTTTCATTAGGACTACAACCTATTTTTTGATGGGTAAGATGATAGTTCTCTTCTGCAGATGGAAGAGATCTTCTACAAAAAAAGAGAGACTCTGATCTAATAGAGGTGTATGGTGGATGACTGTTTCAGGTTTCCTGGTGCTCTGAAGAAAATGTTTTGGATTTGCGCACAAAAGCTGCCACACCTTTTTTTGCTTGGATGAGTGTTTCATGACCTGAACATTAGGTGACATGCCCCATCAAAAAAAGTAGCATACAAGACAATACATTTAAACATACACAGAAATCATATACAGTACATCTATCCCTTAAAGATCATGCCTCCATAAATAAAGCATTTCAGGGGAAAACACTTTGATATGAGATATAAAAGATGTGTCTCCATAAATAATCTTGGGAGTGTGTGAAAAGCATCATTTGACAAATAAAGTAGATTAATCATGCTGTCTCAAACCGGTCACTAGAAATTATCACTACTTCCCATTTCAACAAATGTAGCCTGTAATCGGTAATAAGCCTTGAATTTTAGAATCAACATAAATAGTATGCTTTTAGAGATCACTTCCTATCTGTAAGAAACCATAGGATGTCAGTCAACGAGTGACATTATTTTCACCACTCTCAACAATGACACCCTTGGTTCCGAGAAAGCTCTAATTGAAGGGTGGGTGATGCAGGGTATGGTGATGAGACAGAGGCCAGAAGTCATCCCTGGACAGGTTCATCAGTCAGGGAAATTTGGATACTATGTTATTTAAGCCTTAGTAGAGGATGAATGATTCCGTTCTTTGAACTATGGTGGAACTAATTTCATTACTTCACAATTCTATGATAGATTATTAAATACTATTCTTCTTCTTATTCTTCTTGAATGAGTAAAGAATGCTATTACTGAAAATGGTGTAAGTACAAATATATCTGAAGGTTTACTAAAATAAGGTTTAATAATATTGCCCCCCTTTTCAGACCAGAGAATTATGTTTGATTTCATGCCCTCTCCCAGAATGTGAGTTAAACACAGCAAGTAATAGGTGGAAAAGAGTTGAAGCACTGGATATGTTACAATTACTGTTCAGGTAGCAGATATTATTTAGACAGTTAACATCCAACTCTTTCATCCTTAAGGAGGCATTTCTATTTGTATTCTTGCAATTTGCTCATGGTTATTAAATGCAAAATAATTAATATTCCACATATTCAATTTCTTCTTCTCTTTGTTTCTGCTGTATTATCATTTTTGATCATACATTTATGAAAACAAACCAATTTGTTGAATGTCTTTAGAAAGCTGCACCCTATCTTCCTTGAGTATTTCTAGGAAAAAATGCTTGATTCTATAACAATGAAAATTAATAGTATTTCTGTATTTACTTTAGGAGAGGAATCATTCACTCTACACTGTGCTTCTGTGTCCAGATGTGTACTGCCCCACTGAAATACAGTGGACCCTCAACTTACAGACTTTTCGAGTTACAGACTTCTCTGGCCGCAAAATTTAGGTTCGACTTGTAGCCAGAGAATCAACCTACAGACCAGAAAAAAGCCAAAATGGAACAAAAACGGCCAGTTACAGGATTAATCGGTTTTCAATGCATTGTAGGTCAATGGAGACTCGACCTACAGACTTTTCGACCTGCAGCCACCGTTCCAATACAGATTAATTCCGTAAGTAGAGGGTCCACTGTAATGAATTAGCTTAGAGAGCCAGTGTGGCTAGGACTCATGAGACCTGGGTTCAAATTTATGTTTCCTCTAGGAAACTCCTGAATAGCAGCAACAGTAGAATACACCTTGGGCATTTCATGTATATGTTAGGGTTGCCATTAATTGGAAACAACCTGATAGCACATAATAACATCAACAAGCGTATGGAGCACCTCTATAACATGTTTTTTTTCTTATAGACCAATTATATTCAGATAATACTTGAGAAGTAATAGTTAATGATGGTTTAACAAAGCGGATTTTTCTAGGCTGAGGTACAAGACAAGGCTGTCCACTTTCACCAATATTGTTTTGTATGGTTATAGAATTGTTAGCTAATGCAATAAGAAATGATGAATTAATTAAAGGATTGGGAAACAATGATACAATTAAGATTAATTTATTTGCTGATGACTCATTACTGACCATTAAAAACCCATTAGAAAGTATGGATAATAATAAAAATCATTTAGAAAAAAATTGGGGAAATAACAGGATTAAGTATTAACTGGCAAAAACCACAAATAATGATGTTTAATTATAATAAACATGAACAAGAAACATTTGTAAATATGGTTTTAAAATGTGTAATTAGATGGATAGTATAATGTTTTTAATATAACACTGGCTGAGGTTTTACAGTGGTGCCTCGCTTAACGGGTGCACCATAGCGATTAACTTTTTGCGATCGCTTTGCGATGTTCCCTATGGGGAAAAATCGCTTTGCGATGATCGGTACTGTTTCGCTTACCGATCATTGCAAAGTGATGATTTTTTAACAGCTGATCAGCGGTTCCAAAATGGCCACCGGGTAAAAAAAATGGCC